ACCAAACACTCACCTACCACCACCCACCCACCTACCATCACCCACCCACATACCACCAAACACCCACCTACCACCAAACACTCAGCTACCACCACCCACCCACCTACCAAACACCACCTACCACCACCCACCTACCACCACCCACCTACCTACCACCAAACACCACCTACCACCAACCACCCACCTACCACCACCCACATACCTACCACCACCCACCCACCTACCACCACCCACTCACCTACCACCACCCACCTACCTACCACCAAACACCACCTACCACCACCCACCCACCTACCACCACCCACTCACCTACCACCACCCACCTACCTACCACCAAACACCACCTACCACCACCCACCCACCTACCACCCAACACTCACCTACCACCAAACAACCACCAAACACCACCTACCACTACCCACCTACCACCACCCACCCACCTACCACCCAACATTGACCGAAGCACAACCCGATATCACCACCGACTCGCTTCGCATGCCGACAAATCGTGGTCACCACCGTCTGAGTTATCGTCTGTGTGAGTCGGGAGCGGTGGGGCAACGGTCAGGGCACTGCGCTGCGATCCGGACCACACGAGTTCGATTTCGGCTCACGGCAGGTGACGCCGCTGACGATTATCTCTGAAGCGGTCCCGGGGCCTCCCCCAGGTCGACTCAGCCTGAAACGAGTACCCAATGCGGTGTGTAAACCTCGCCACTGGGGAGACACAGGCGGACATGCCTTTACTGGTGCTCGCTAACAGCGCTTGCCCCAGCAGTCTTAAGGCTACACGGGGGATATTTGTGTGTGTCTGTGTGTCAGCGTGTGTGTATATATATGTATTTATATTTGTTTATTTATGTGCATGCGTGCGTATTGTGTTTGTGTGTGTAGTGTACGTTTGGGGAGCGGTGGCGCAGTGGTTAGCGCACCGTGCGACGAACCGCCTTGAACCTGAATTCACAATGAATTCAGGTTCAGAATTCACAATGATTTCAGGTTCACCGCCAACATCGGTGGCCAATATCCGAATCCGTGCTGGGCCTCCTTTGGGTCGACTCGGCTTCAAATTATTTGCGGTGTGTACACATCAGCCACTGGGGAGACAAAGGCGGCCGGGCGTGGTGCTGGCCACCCACCCCCTCGTGTGCCGTGCCGGCCTTCATAAGTGCTACTCGCTAACAGCGCTTGCCCCAACAGTCCGTTAAGGTTATAGGGGGGATCTTTGTCTTTGTATAAATGTGTGCGTGTGTTTATTTATTTCTGCGTGCATATTGTGTGTGCGTGTCGGTGTTCATTCATATTGTGTGTGCGTGATCGTCAAGTGTTTGCGTGTCTGTGTGTATCGACTTGTATAGATTGTGCGTGTAATTACGTATATGTGTGTTTGTGTGTGTATATATACACATGTTGTGTGTATATACATACACATGTTGTGTATATGGATGGATCAGTAGTATACCAATACAGCGACCCGACTTCGATTCGCGCTCACTGCCAACACCAGTGATGATTCTCTGAATCGGTCCCGGGGCCTCTCCGAGGTCGACTCAGCCTCAAACGAGTAGCCACCTGCAATGTGTAAACATCGTCACTCGGGAGACAAAGGCGGCCGGGCCTGGCGCTGGCCACCCACCCCCTCGTGTGCCGTGCCGGCCTTCATAGGTGCTGCTACTCGCTAAGAGCAGCACTTGTCCCAACAGCTTGTGAAGGCTACACGGAGGGTCTTTGTCTTAGTCGTGTGTGTGGGTACGACCTTAATTGTGAACACGTGTGTGTGTGTGTATATATGTATACGTTTGCGTCCGCATATGCGTGCATATCGCGCGCGCGTGTGTGCATTTGTGTACGCGCGGTTTGTTTTTGTATGTTACGCGCGCGCGCGTGCGTGCGTGTGTGTGTGCGAGGAGCGGTGGCGCAGCGGTTAGCGCACTGCGCTTACGACCTAAGAGACCCGAGTTGGATTCCCGCTCAAGCCCGACGGATATAAAAATGAGCAGCGACTATCCGAATCCCCCTCTCTCTCTCGGTTTCGTTACCTCCCCTAGGTCGACTCAGCGTCATAATTAGTAGGTTACTCGCTGCTCTTTCTACCCTGAACGGCGGCGCGAGAGAGGGGTGGGGGGGAAGTGACAATGACGGCCGCGCGTTAAGGATTCTACTTTGTTTTTTTTTCATATGCACATTTCAATTGCCCGAGTCAATTACAAACCTCCACCTTTGTATCACCACCACCACCCCCACCCCCGCCACACCAACTCGCCAGCCAATGGCCAACGCTCCCTGCGTCTCCTCTCGATCCAGTGCGCGCGGCACATCGGAGGCTGCCACAAGAGGCACACACGAAGACGTTGGGACTGGAACCCGCGATTGACCAAAGGCGGCGAAGTCGTTTGTTTGTCTGTTGTTGCGCCTTGAATAGCTCTCTTCACACGCCGCAGTGATTTTACTGGAGTATCTTCTTGGTTCTTTCGGTAAAGTCACGTAAAAGGGAAATGATAAAATAATAAAAATAATAAATTTTATTATCAGACGCTGTCTTTCCGACAGACCTGTTCTTCACCCGAGGACGGCTGCTTGCGTTGTGGCCGAAAACGTCGTGAGAATTATTTTATTATGATTTATTTATTATTTCATTATTTCCCTTCTACGTGACTTTACCGAAAGAACCAAGAAGATGAATCCCTGCAGTCACGAAAGAAGCTTTAAATCGAAATTTACTGGAGCAGTTACACCTGATGACGGAGGCTTGTGTTGCTTCCGAAACGCCGTAATTTAATTTAGTTATTTTCATTTTTTTTATAATAATTTTTTTTATCTACGTGACTTTACCGAAAGAACCCACGAGTATGAATCCTTGCAGTCACGACAGCTTCAAATCTAGAATTGTTTTTGTTTGTTTGGTTCGTCTTCAGTGGCCGAGCGTAACAGCATTCATAATTGGCGAGCCGTTATACGCACGGCCGCGTTATCGTCGTGGTGCTAGTACGCATGGCACGGATCATTTGCAAGGCGAACGAGGCGACACGAGATGGGTTTCAAACCCGGTTGAACATCTCGGTAACCATTTTAGACCGGGGTTAAGCTGGGTCTAACCGGTTAATACCGGTTTTGCGGTCGAGAGCGTTCCAACCGGTTAATTGCGTTCATCACCATAAAGTTCCACTCGTCATCGGCTCGCGGTTCGCGATATTTATAAGGTTTTTATTTTGTAAAGTGTGAAAACGGATTAAGGGTTACCGTTTTAGCAAGCGTAGTTGCACCACGCGCGTGTGTGATTAGGTCGACGACTTGACTTTGAAAGAGTACCTGGTGCGGTGTAGTAAAACATCGTCAAGAGAGAGACAAAGGCGGCCCGGCGTGGTGCTGGCCACCCACCCCCTCGTGCGCCGTGCCGGCCTTCGTAGATGCTACTCGCTAACAGCACTTGCCCCAACAGTCTGTTAAGGCTACACGGGGGATCCGTGTGCGTACGTACGCCCGTGTGCGTTTCGTGCCTTCGATATTATTAGTCATATTTCACACGATATTATACAACGCGTCTTCATTGATATTTATTGACACAATATCGAGAGGAGAGAGAGGGAGAGAGGGAGAGAGAGTCGGCGAGGTTGATGGATCAATTGTACGTGGTGCATAGCTCCATCGCAACGCGTAATGAGTTTGTGTACCATATTACTTATTGATGAGCGAGGAGAGTGGGGGGTGGGTTAGTGGGGGGGGGGGGTTAGTGGGGGGGGGGGGTATTGGGGGGGGGATAGTGGGGGGGGGGGGGTAACGGTAGGGAGGAAGCTCGCGAGCAAAGCAGAGAGCGTTTTGAGCGAGCGAGCGAGAGGAGGAGACGAGGAGGAGGAGGGAATGTGATGAGTGGGTTTGGTTTGAGATGAAGAGGGTGGGGAGGTAGGGGGGAGGTAGGGGGGAGGTAGGGGGCGAGGTAGGGGGGGGGGTGAGGCAGGGAACCGAGGGGGGGGGAGTTGGGGGGGGCATCTCGCTGCGACTCATCCAATAGCGTCTCCTCCAGCGTGCCACTTCTTCAAACAATGGATGATTTAGCGACCTCGTCCAATCGCGCTCGGCTGCCTCGTGTCCCACGTCACGCGACTGGGGAGGGGGGCGACGAAGCAGTAGCCGCGGCGCAGGCGGAGCCCACTGACGAGGAGAAGAGGAGGAGGAAGAGGGTTGGGGTAGTGAGGTGGTGGGGTGGGTGGTGGTCGTGGTGGTGGGGTGGGGGAAGGCTTGTGGATGTCCCGCACGCAGCCTCAATTCATTTATCTGCGGGAGTCTGGGAGGGGTCTCTGCCATAATCACCGCGAGTCGCCGCCGCCGCTTGCTGAGTCCGAATCGGCGCCTTCGCAGCTCTGCGTGACAACACCACGCAACTTTACTCACGGTGGAGGCGAGAGAGGGGGGGGGGGGGTGGTCGTGGGGCCGTTGTCCTCCCGACTCATTATTATTTTTTTGTTACAATCCAGCGGGTGGGTGGGTGGGTGGTGTGTGTGGCGTGCGGTGTTCGTGCGGTGCGTGGTGGGGGGGTAACGCGATGGTTGTGCGTGCGTGAGAGCGGTTTCGTGAGCGAGGCTGCTGCGAGAGACAAACCCCCCCCACCCACCCACCCACCACGTCCACTGGTGGTGGTGGAGGTGGTGGTGGATTTGATTGTTTTGTGTTCTATCGCGAGTCCAGAAAAGTTTATCGGCGGGTTCTATTTTTTTTTTTAAGTTCGAAAAAAAATTTAGTTGGTAGGGGGGGGGGAGACAGTTTTTTGGAGAGAGGGGGGGGTGGTTTTCGTTTATTTTTTTGGTTCGGTTTTCGTTCGTTCGCTCGCTGCTGCTGCTGCTGCGTTCGAGCGAACGACGAGACGAGTCGTCGAGTGAAAGTAAAAAACTGCGGCTTTTTCCCGTTTATCTGAAGGATAAATCACCACTAGAGAGAGAGAGAGCGAGCGAGCGCAGGGTGCGTGGTGTGCGTAAGGCGGACGGGCGGGGGGGGGTGGGAGAGAGTTTTCGCGAGCGCGAGCGAGATTTAGCGACCTCCTGCCTCCAGTTGTTGAACACACCTCATTTGCTCCTCATTCTTCCGGACTTGGCGTTCTCAACAACAACAACAAACAAACAACCAAACACAACAACAACAACGATCCGAACACGAGGCAAGCGCGACCACAACAACAGAGACTCGAACATTCACCCGCGCGCTGAGAGTCTCGCGCGCGCGCGCGAGTGCAAGCACAGAGCGAGGGACCGAGACACACGGAGAGAGAGCTAAGAGAGAGCTAAGAGAGAGCTCCGAGAGAGAGAGAGCGAAGAGAGCGAGAAGAACAGAGAGCGAACGATCGAAAGAGAGAGAGCGAGGAAGAGAGCGAGAGAGGGAGCGCTCGCACGCGCGCAACATCGTCCATGGCCATGCTACTGGAAAGCGGAGCGCAGTACCCGTCGACGCTAAGCGGGTACCCACCCCCTACCGCGAGACTCCAAGCGGGGGGCGACGGAGGCGGAGGAATCGGCGGTGACCGCGGCGACTGTGGCTCAGGAATGGGACTCGGTGGCGTCTTCGGGGACCCCCATCACCACCATCACCACCACCACCTGGGCGCCGCGTTCAAGCTGGGATCGTCGTCTGCTGCGTCGTCGTCTTCGTCTGCAGCGTCGCACCACCACCACCACCACCATCACGACATCGCAGCGGCGGCAGCGGCCGCAGCTGCGGCTGCCGCCACGGGGAACGGCGTCGGAGGTAGCGGAGCTGGCGGCGGCGGTGGTGGAGTTGGTGGTGGATCGCAGGGTGTCTTCTCGTCACAACCGACTGGCGCCTACGCTCACCCCTCGGGCACGCCGCTAGGCGGGCACGGCTCGCCGCACGTGGGCTCCTACGGGGCCGCGGCAGCAGCGGCGGTGGCGTTCAACTCGACGCGGGACTTTCTGTTCCGCAACCGCGGCCTGGGAGACGTCGCAGCTGCAGCCGCGGCCGCTGCTGCCGCCGCTGCCGCCGGCGCCGCGTCCCAGCACGGAGGCATCTTACAAGCGTCCATCGGCGGCGGTGGTGGTGGTGGTGGCGGCGGTGGTGTTGGTGGTGGTGGCCTCAACCCTCACAGCAGCCACCATCACCCGCCGCCGTACGCTCACCACCACCCTCACCACCACGGGCACGCGGACGTTGGAGGGGGTGGAGGAGGAGGTGGTGGTGGTGGAGCCGGGGGTGGTGGTGGTGGTGGTGGTGGCATCATCTTTCCGGGACTTCACGATCAATCGGCGGCAGTGGCGGCTGCGGCCGCTGCCGGACAAATGCGGCTGAGCATCCCGGGAGGGGAGCTGTACGTGCGGCCGGAAGCTCACCACCAGTACCCTCACCACCACGCTCACCACCACGCTCACCACCACCCTCACCACGCTCACCATCACCAGATCGGCGCGGCGAGCCCGCGCTCCGACGCGTACGGCGCCGTGACGGCGAGCGCGTTGCACCCTCACCACCACCACCCGCACCACCATCCTCACCACCACCACCCGCACCACCACCACCCGCACCACCACCCGCACCACCACGGCTACGGGCCGCTCAACATGATGGCTCACCACGCGGGCGCTGGGGCATTCTTCCGATACATGCGGCAGCCCATCAAGGAGGAGCTTGTGTGCAAGTGGATTGAACCGGAGCCCGGAGGAGGAGGAGGTGGTGGTGGTTGTGGTGGCGGCGGCGGGCAGCCATCGAAGCCTTGCTCCAAGACGTTCAGCACCATGCACGAGCTGGTGACGCACGTGAGTGTGGAGCACATTGGAGGTCCCGAGGCGGCTCACCACGTGTGCCACTGGGACGAGTGTCCCCGTGAGGGGAAGCCCTTCAAGGCCAAGTACAAGCTGGTGAACCACATCAGGGTGCACACGGGCGAGAAGCCGTTCCCGTGCCCCTTCCCCGCGTGCGGCAAAGTGTTCGCTCGCTCCGAGAATCTCAAGATCCACAAGAGGACGCACACAGGTGAGGGACGGGTGGGTGTGTGGGTGGGTGAACGAGTGGGTGGGTGGACGAACGAGTGGGTGGGTGAGTGGACGAGTGGGTGGGTGGGCGAACGAGTGGATGAACGAGTGGGTGGATAAGTGAGTAAACGAGTGGGTGGGTGAGTGAAAGAGTGGGTGAACGAGTGAGTGAGTGAACGTTGGAAGGTGGGTGGGTGAGTGGGTGGGTGAGTGAGTGAGTGGGTGAGTGAGTGAGTGGGTGAGTGAGTGGGTGAGTGAGTGGGTGAGTGAGTGAGTGGGTGAGTGAGTGGGTGAGTGAGTGGGTGAGTGAGGAGTGGGCGGTCTTCGCTCGCTCCGAAAACCTCCACATCCACCAGCGGACTCACACGGGTGAAGGAGCGGGGGGGCGGGGCTGGCGGTGCGAGTGGGGGGGTTGAGGGGGGGGTCGTGAGGTTTGTTGTGGGTGGGGAGGGGGGGGGTGTGGGGTGGGGGACTACACTTTTTAGCGGGTCGGGGTCTAAGTCCAGGGACCCCCACTCCAACAGTAACCAACCTCGCGTGCTATGCAGGAGGCCCCCTCCACCCGAAACGTCGCCGGTGGTAACGTTGGCGTTGTCTTCAGCGCAGAGCTATTGACGACTGCGATTTCGCGGAGTTTGGTAGCAAAGCCGTGGATAGAACGCAGTCTATGACAATCGTGGGGGTGACGATTGGGGGGCTAGGTGATGGTGGAGGTTGAGGGGGGGGGGTGAGATTGATTACCTATTTTAGGGGGGTGTAAGATACACGGGGGAGGGGGGAGCAATAGTCTAGCAATGGATCGATCACGGTTGACTGTGATGAGAAACGATCATACGCACACACGTGTGTGTGTATATATACGTAAACATATGTATACACTTACGCCTGTGTATATGTAGGTAGGTGTATAATAGGGAGACAAAGGCGGTCGGGCGTGGTGCTGGCTACCCACCCCCTCGTGTACCGTGCCGGCCTTCATAGGTGCTCGCTAACAGCACTTGCCCCTACAGTCTGTTAAGGCTATATGGGGGATCTTTGTTTTTTTTGTAGGTATATATATATATACACACAAACGTGTAATGTATACGCTTGCAAAAGTCGTGAATTGGCACCGTATCAGATGTACAGATGATATCAGATGATGCACGGATACCAGATGTACAGATGCTACCAGATGATGCACGGATATCAGATTATCTAAAGATTATAACCAGTTAATGCACCGATATCAGACGATGTACAAACACCAGGCAATGAAACATTCGGCTAAGGCTATGGACAACATCTCGCCACGTTACGATATTGGTGGAGGAGCGGTGGCGCAGTGGTTAGGGCACCGCGGCAGTGTGACCGAGGCGACAGGATCTATAATATTAATAATATTAATAACAAAACACATCTGAACTCCTCCCATCTCTGCGTCGACCACTGTGGTGAAGTATGGTCAGGATTAATCGCCCCCGCCCCTCGCCTATAATCGAGACAGAGCGTGAAAGCCCCTTAATAGAGGCAGAATATAAGAAAATTGTAATTATTAGAGCCTAAAATTTTATTTCAGATGTGCGTTCATTACATTATATCTCGACGGTTTGATGCGGGAATGGGGGGGCGGGGGTCATCATCCAGCGGTAGATTGACCATGGCAGACGAAGAGGGTGATGATGAATTTTTCGTTGTGTTTCTCGAGCCCTCTGGCTGTCGTGTTGGCTACCCTCGTCAGCGATAAATAATCCCGCGTCCATTCTGAGGATATGGGTAAGAGAGTGAATGGGTCAGCGAGTGAATTAATGGCGAATGAATTGATGCGCGAGTGAATGGCGAGCGAGCGAGTGGTTGAGCGAGTGAGTGAATGGGTGAGCGAGTGAATGGGTGAGCGAGTGAATGGGTGAGCGAGTGAATGGGTGAGCGAGTGAATGGGTGAGCGAGTGAGTGAATGGGTGAGTGAGTGAATGGGTGAGCGAGTGAATGGGTGAGCGAGTGAATGGGTGAGCGAGCGAGTGAATGGGTGAGTGAGTGAATGGTTGAATGAGCGAGTGAATGGGTGAGTGAGCGAGTGAATGGGTGAGCGAGCGAGTGAATGGTTGAGTGAGTGAGTGAATTCGTGAGCGAGCGAGTGAATGGGTGAGCGAGTGAATGGTTGAGTGAACGAGTGAATGGGTGAGCGAGCGAGTGAATGGTTGAGTGAGTGAGTGAATTCGTGAGCGAGCGAGTGAATGGTTGAGTGAGTGAGTGAATTCGTGAGCGGGTGAGTGAATGGGTGAGCGAGTGAATGATTGAGTGAGTGAGTGAATGGTTGAGTGAGTGAATGAATTCGTGAGCGAGTGAATGAGTGCGTGAGCGGGTGATTGAATCATCGAACGAATGAGCGATTTCTTTTGGTTCGACAAATCATTCCTAACCCTCGTGGGTTGGCGAACACCACGCGCTCGCCGGTGTGATGTTTTGTGTGAACGAGTTGAGTGAGTGAGTGAATGAGTGAATGAATTAGTGAGTGAATGAGTGAGTGAACGAGTTGCTAATGTGTGTACGCGTGTGAGTGATTAACCGAATCGATGCGTGAGCGAATTGTACGTTAAGCAATGCACGTGTGTGAAATAGAGGTTTAATTGAATTAAACAATGGGTGAATTAGTGAGTGTATGCATTGGTGAGTGAGTGAATTGGCGAGTGAATGAATGAACGGGTCGATTAGCGAGTGGGTGACGTGAGCGAGCGAGTTGACCGAGTGAATCTGTGAGCGACTGAGTGAATGAATACGTGGGTGAATGAACGCGATGAATTCATTCGTGAGTGAATGAGAGCGTGAACGAGTGTGGTTCTCATTCAGGGAGAAAGACGTGGATATAACGTTCCTCGGACGTTCAGAGTTTTTATTTGGGGAGGGAGGGGAGGGAGGACCTTCTCTGTTGAGAATTCCCAAACCTCAACATCCCGGCTGAACTCGATGTTTCTCGCTGCGGTCGCCAAGCGAATCGATGAGAAATTTGAAACGTGTAAAACGACCCCGAAGTCGTGGAATTCAACTTCCATTTGGACGCGTAATCCGGCAGCTTTGCACGGACCCGTTTGTTGTTGTCGCTGTTATTGTTGTTGTTAGTGTTGTAGGTGGTGGTTGTGATTTGTGCCGCGTAAGTTAACGACGCTATCGAATGATATTATCGGTCGTCGCCTTTAAGACTATTTTTGGGATTGGCACAGAAAGTGTTGTGCAAAGTTGCACGGGATTTGTCGAAATACGACGTGAATATGTATTTACAGTTTGTGTGTACGTGTGTGTGTGTACGTGTGTGTACGTGTGTGTACGTGTGTGTGTGTGTACGTGTGTGTGTGTGTGTGTACGTGTGTGGGGGAGCGATAGTGTAGCGGTTAGCGCGCTGCGCTATGAACCTAGCGACCCGGGTTCGATTCCCGCTCACGGCCAACACCAGTGACGATTATCTGAACCGGTCCTGGGCCTGACCTAGGTCGACTCAGCCTGAAATGAGTACCTTTTGTGGTGTGTAAACATCGCCACGGGGAGACAAAGGCGGTCGGGCGTGGTGCTGGCCACCCACCCCCTCGTGTACCGTTCCGGCCTTCATAGGTGCTCGCTAACAGCACTTGCCCCTACAGTCTGTTAAGGCTATATGGGGGATCTTTGTACATTGGTGCTCGCTAGCAGCACTCGCTCCTACAGTTTGTTAAGGCTAAACGGCGGATCTTTGCATTTTTTATGTAAATATATGGGGAGCGGTGGTGCAGCGGTTAGCGCTCCGCGCTACGAACCCGGCGATCCCGAGTTCGATTCCCGCTCACGGCAACCAACACCGATGACAATTATATTTATCTGAACCGATCCTGAGCCCTCCCCTAGGTCGACTCGGCCTCAAATGAGTACCTGGTGCGGTGTGTTGTAAACATCGTCACCTGGGAGACAAAGGCGGCCTGGCGTGGTGCTGGTCACCCACCTCCTCGTGTGCCGTGCCGGCCTTCATAGGTGCTACTCGCTAACAGCACTACCCCCAACAGTCTGTTACAGGCTATACGGGGGAGCTTTGTCTGTGTTCTTTTTCTAATTATCTAACACATCCTAAACCAAATGTAGAGTTATATTCGCGTGAAAGACAACATTGTACCACGTGCGTTCTTGTTACGATGATGATCGTGATGATACCACGTGCTATCAAGAGAGGGATATTGCCCTAAACGTCGCCGATCATATATATATTTTTATTTTATTTATTTTGTTGCGGAATGTGTTGTGGCGGATGGGGGGGGGGGGCTTCATACAGCGCTGGATTGACCATGGCTACCACCACTGCTGCTGCCGCTGCTGCTGCTGGTGATGATGATGATGTTGAAGAAGATGGTGATGATTGCGTGTACTCCACGTGGACAGAATGTGGTTCAAATGTCCACCCGCTACGTCGCATTAGCAGCCAGGGTCCTCGTGTACACGAATCGACGGATATAACAAAGACAAAGATCCCCCGTATAGCCTTAACAGATTTGTTTGGGGGGGGGCAAGTGCTGTTAGCGAGTAGCACCAAATTAGGGCCGGCACGGCACACGAGGGGGTGGGTGACCAGCACCACCCCCGGCCGCCTTTGTCTCCCCCCCCCCCAGTGACCATGTTTATACACACAGCACGAGGTGACTCATTTTGAGGCTCAGTCGACCTAGGGGAGGTCCAGGACCGCTTTAGATAATCGTCAGTGTGGCGGGAATCGAACGCACAGTAAAGCACACACACACACGAACACACACACACACGCACCAACACACCACGCACACACGAAGACACGCACGAACACACACACACGAACACACACACACGAACACACACACACGAACACACACACACATGAACACACACACATGAACACACACACATGAACACACACACACGCACCAACACACGAACACACGCGCACACACGAACGCACACACGAACGCACACACCAACACACACACCAACACACACACCAACACACACTCCAACACGCGCTCACACGCACATACC